ATCCATCCATTATAGATAAAATTATAAATAAAAGACAAATACAGACAACAGTAAACTCTATTTATCCGAAACCTAATACAGAACACGAACAATTTAAAACAATTACATACATAGGAGAACCTAGTGAAAAAGTTTGAAAACATTTGTCAAAATGTGGTTTAAAAATAGCTTTCAGAACTAACAACACAATAGGAAACTATTTAAAAAACAATTAAACGAAATGTCCAAAATCCCAAAAATCAGGTGTCTATAGGTTGAAATGTGGATCTTGTCCTAAAATTTATATTGGACAAACAGGTAGATCCTTCAAGAAACGCATTGACGAACATAAAAGAGAGTTTAAAAACAATAGTTTAGATTCTAATTATGCTACACACTTAAACACAGAAAAACACATTTTTGACAACAATTTTGATATTTTACATACAGCGACAAAAAGTAGAAAATTAAATTTATTGGAAGCCATGGAGATTAACAAAATAAGACATTCAAATGTATTGCTTAACGATCAATTAGATTTAAATACCTCTGGTTTATTGAACTTAAATTCGTATGGTATATATAGTAGCAGGTAGTTTGTAAATATTACATTTGATAAAGACACGGTGTTGTCGAAACAATTGTCATGTCATAATATATAATTTCCTGAAAATCTGAAGTTTTAGTTCTTTTTTATTTTGGTAAGAGTAAGTGCCTATACTCTATTTATCTTAGAGGTAAGTTTGAAAATAAGCATTTTTGTCTTGTGTGCCTGTCGATTAATAACATTCTTCTTCTTGTGTTTTTGTGTGTTCTACATAGTTTTCGATTTGTAAACAACAACAGTCTTTTTTAAGATACAAAACGGACATGAAATATTGAGATTACCCCCTTATCATTGTATATTTAATCCGATTGAGATCATTTGGTCTGAGTTGAAATCGCATATAAGAAGAAATAACGCAGCGCCAAAATTTAGTGATAGGACCATAAACTTAATTCGGCATGAGGTAGCTCAAATATCAGTACAAAGCTGGTCCATCTGTAAAAAACAAGTAATAACAGAAGAAAGTATCTATCGAGAACGATTATTGGCGAAGTTGATCACTGCACTAGGTGACGACAGTAGCGATAGTGACGATTTTTTAAGCGACTGATACTTTATTATTATTATATTTAATATTTTGCATATTAATAATAATACTATGTAGGAATGTAATTTTTACTATTTTTTTATGTACATGTTTCAAGAATTGCTCAGCGAAAAAGATTGAAAACATACTTATATCCCGCTTGATACTGTAGGTAGATAAATTCCTAGGACGGTCCTGGAACGGTTACGGGTAAGGGTATACTCGGCAGGGTGTTTTATGAGGGGCCGCGGTTTTGGAGTAATAAACAGTTTAGCAAAACACAATATTTCTGGTCATGGTATACCCCTTTTTTCATTCTAGCAAACATAGGTGGTTTAGTTTTTGAACTTTGCAATGCTGTAACATGGAAGAAATCGGATTTCGAACGAAAACTTATGTGAAAGACATATTTTAATATTTCTTGAAGATCACCCCTTAAAATATTGTAAAACACCGTAATATTTTTACAAAATTTTACAACGTGTTATTCAACCAATTAGGTCATTTCTAACTAACCAAGCAAGGAAGCGAATTAATTAGATATACATTTTTGAATAATCTTCATATATTTAATAAACAATACAATAACCTGTTCAAAAAACAATTAAGTTAAAAAAAAATAAATCGCAAATGATCGTAGACCTGGTTTTACAAAACTATCGCAAAGCATCGTCAGAAATACATCAACTCAAAGGTACACAGACAAAAAATTTGTTTAATCAATCAAATTATGGTCATGACTAACACATATCGTGGATCCAGAGGTCTATACGATATTATTATGTCGACTACAATTAAAAAGACAAAATTTGAAAAAAAATTGGTAACTTAAAATAATCTAATGTACGACCTTATCATGCGTATCCCGCAATGACCTTGTCGAGGTATTATAGGTTTATCATTCAAATTTTATTTACCTAAAAACAGTCGATATCCAGAATCGCAATTTAGAACGTAGATAATAATAAAAACCAATTAGTATGGCTCCAATACTTTTCTGAAACACTGAGCCAAACAAAACACTCAAAGCTTTCTGATTTACTCGTCAAATGTTGCACTGCAAGTATAATCTTATTAGACAGGCAGTCAATGTTTAAAGCCCTTGTTTGCATCACGAGCTTAACACGAGAAGTTTTGATGGGTAAACGCTCTTTAATGTTTGAGTATTTGGTCGACCGTAGTTTGAAACCTATTGAATCGAGTTTGTGGCAGCATTACGATGTATAAAAGACATTTGCTATAACAATATGGTTCGCAACAGATTTTATATCATCGTACAATGTAATGCGACTTGTTGAGTTGCAAATGCACAATCAATGTCAATCTATCGCGTCTACATGGAATACAAAAAATAAAATTTACATTAGAATGTTTACTCTTTTGACGGAGATCTGAAGATTAAAAAATAAATTTGAAGAAATTCAAAAATTAACTAAGTAACTAAGAAAATAATTGAAAACAGTTTTGTACAGTTTGGTAATAAATAAGAAATGAAAAAAAATTGCCAAAATAATATCAATTTTGGCAAATATACAATAAAAATATAAATAAAGTTCTTAAACTATTTGTGTTTTTAATTAAAAAAAAATAGGGGCTTTGCGAGATAATGTGCTACGTTTTTGTGAAGTATATATGGCGCAGGGAATTTCGACGGTTTTCGTTTAAAGATATTCTTAGTACATTCCAATTTTCTAATTCATCGAAAAACTAAACACTTCCTGCAAAGATATTGCGCTCTACTGCATCATTTTTAATAGGGTATCACATTATATCAAAGCTTTGCTGGTTATTTTTCGTAAAACATCCTATATTTGGCACACGCCGAATTTTAGTATTTGCAGCTTTTTTATAATATTTTACGCAAAATAAAAAATGACTGCAATTCAAGGCTACCAAACCATTATCTTCAATCAACAAAAAACAACAAAAAAATACAATCTTTATAAACTCTGTGTTTTATTTATATAATGGTGGCAATTTTACCTCTTTTAAAACAACGTGAACTAACTTTAGAAAGAAAAAGTTTATTTAAATTAATTTCTATTAGCGAGAAATGATGTAAATTATAGAAGAGAGCTATATTTTTTTAAAAAGCCTACATTAATATCAATAAAAAAATATATGTGTTCAATCTCATATTAAAAAAGATCAATAGGTATACTGCGTTTGCAATACCCTCAAATCGCTCTGCATCATACGATTTTGACCGAAAAGGTCAGTCAGTATTAATAGGATTTTCTTAAATGCTACTTATTAGGCCACTTTACATCAAAATTGTATTAGACAAATACAAACCAAACGCCTTATGGAATAAACTTGGTACCCTCCATTTGTTGTTTCCTTATTAGAACTGTCAGAACATTAGCCAAAAAGGGTAAATGAATTCAATTTTGGAATACACATAATATATGATACATTTTTAAGTAAAAGAGGTCCTTTATCATTCTAATAAGGATCAATAAAGCTACTACGATTATTCCAGACTTTATGTTTAATACGTATTTTTTACAACATAAATAAAATCCATTATAAAATAAGCCGACTAGACTACATTTTTTCTTTATTAGAACTATTTTTAAAACAAAGAACAATTGTCAAAAGAATAAATACAGATATAATATATAATATACAAAATACAACTTTAAAAATTAGAAGATAATGAATCTTAAAATCGATGTTCTTCAAACCAATATAATTGTATTTTGTATCTTATATTGTATATCTTGAAATATTTTTTGAAAAAAGTTAAATAAAAAAAAAAACATAAAAAAATTACAATCTCTAAAAACTGCGTCTTTTCTAATAATAATTTTTAATAATAATTACCCATCTTTTAAAGCAACGTTAACGAAGGTTATAACGAAAAATGTTATTTGATATCATTAATTCAATAATCATTAATATTTTTATTTAATGTGATTAATTCAATAGTCATCAAACTTAAAGATTAAAATTTCATTGCAAAATACGAAATCCCAAGCTTTAAGTTACAAGAAACGAATCATCTAACTATGATTGGCCTTGGAATGTTCCAGACATGTTTAAAAACTATGAACTATTGCTCTGCGTTAGGTTTTTTTTTGTCAACCCAAAACGAACATGCACCAAATGGTCTACCATAAAATATATTTTTGTTAAATGGCATAGGAAAACGGTTTGGCTTTCTATCCCTGTATTTAGTACCTAAAAATCAATGAAAATATGGTACTTACCAATCATACATTCACATTTTCCTCACTTCTGAAAACCAAGCCTCTTTGTTCACAAGTTTAAGGTCTATTGCCTTTTTAAGCAAGGCGCAGGCAAAAAATAATCTCAATCATTGAAGAGATTTTTGAGCCCCGAATACTATTTTCCCTAATGCTTTTGATAATTACTTTAAAGACTTCTCCATATTCTCATGAATCTACAAATTTTGGAATAAAAAACCGAAAATTTGTGAAGAAATAATCTATTTACTTTGCTCAGTATTTGCAGTTGAATTTGAAACAATTTTCCCGTCGATGGCCTACATAAAGAGATCTTTATGAAGGGTGCATACAAAAATTAATCTCATTTATTTGCGAAGTTTATAACAGTAGGTATAAATATTATAAGAAATAAGAAGGTTGCTAAACGCTGGATAGTGTGAAGCAACCTTTTTTGCATAATACCTTTTTCTGTTTTTTTTTTCTTCTTTTTTTCATTCAGTTGACTTCATTTTATAAAGGGTGGTTTTTACTTCTTTTTTCTTATTTAGATCAAGAAATGTAGACGTATAACGCACCGGGTATGATTCAATATTAAATAAAATTAATCTTCGAATTTCAAAATGAGCTGCCAATTGCTTGCCAATAATTTCGCTTTATCATATCCACTCAATTATCTATCAGTCATCTTCAACGGGTACTATAAGTATCTTAAATAAAATGTAAAAAGAGTCTCCGTTTATTTGCAAACAAGAGAATCGATCAAATTAAAAATGGTACTATCGATGGACCGTTGGGTAGGCAAAGTCGCCGTGGTGACGGGAACCAGCGCAGGAATTGGATATGCGATAGCAGAAGAATTAGTAAAAATTGGACTTATAGTAAGTCAAGAATATCTTAATAATTAATAAAAATAAATGGTCTTTACTGATAAAAAAATAAAGAAACAAAAAAATAAAAAATTAAATAAAGAAACACAGAATTAAAAAGAATAGGTAACAAATACTAGAGGGAAAACTATTATTTTCGTTAGGAAACGAACTTACGTTCTCAATAGGTTGGTTTTAGGTTGCTGGATTAGCTCGTAGGAAAGAGCGCACTGAAGAGCTTTCGAAAAAATTATCAGGAGAAAAAGGAAAATTATACGCTCTAAAATGTGATGTAACCAAGGAAGAAGATATCTTAGAAGCTTTCAAATGGGTTAGAGAAAATCTCGGACCAGTATCTATACTTGTAAACAACGCCGGTTTAGCGCAGGACACCACTCTGATAGATGGGGATATCACGAAATGGAAAACTGTAATAGGTGCTGTAACTATTGTCCGGTTATCTACATAACGGTGCTAATAATTTCAAACAATCTTAATATAATCCTTCTTTCAGATACGAACGTTCTTGGTCTTTGCATTGCCACAAGGGAGGCGATTAAAGACATGAAAGCTAATAACATTGATGGTCACATAATTCACATGAACAGTCTTACAGGCCAAAAAGTTGTATACGTTCCTGTTTTCAATGTTTATCCCGCTACCAAATTCGCCGTTACGGCGCTGGCGCAGACCTTGAGATACGAGATAAACAGTCAGAATCTTAAAATCAAAATAACTGTTAGTACTAGATTAATATTACTTTACAACTTTTATATTTTTACTCAATGATTTGGTTGGAAAAAAACTATATTAGTCAGACGATACAAGAGATTATCAAATTAAAACATTGCTTTTCCTTAGAGTGTTAGTCCTGGGCTCGTAGACACAGAAATTATTCAAACGGACTTTGGAGAGGTAATGAACGGAAAAGGTGTCGATCTGACCTGTAGACTTCGATCCGAAGATATAGCTGACGCTGTTGTTTACGCGCTATCTACACCTCCACATGTACAGGTAAATGTAACGTAAAGAGCTATTGATAATATTTAGTAGTTTTTTAAAGTATAAATAAATAGTGAATATGGTAAAAAAAATGAATATTTCATTAAATATCTAACATCAATAGTTTTTACTGACCCGATATTTGAATGTTTTGTATATATTTTTAGGTTTCCGAGGTAACAGTTCAACCGGTAGGGGAGATATTTTGAGAGCAATTAAAAAATCGGCAACAATTATTACCGAATCCCTGTTGCCATATTTGCAATTCTTAATGCATTTTTTACCTGGGCATCGATTGCATACCGTCAGTTTTGATTTTCATTATTTGGTTCGTGTTTTAAAAATATACCAATAAACTGCTAAGTAAGAACTACAATTTGTTTTGTATGTTTTAAAAATTTCTAGTATTGTATCTGAACATGTATATAAACGTAAACAAATAATAATACTGCGTTTGAACTTATTTGAAGTTTTACGATATGATACGTGGTAACTTTAATGTGAAGAGTTAAGAAGAAAAAATAATCGATATGTTGGATCATGTTATGTTATGCTTTGTATTCGTGCCAAAATCCCAATTTTCAACAGAATGGACGAATGGGAGCAACTGGAATTAATAACTTTGAACAGCAGCATCAGGTCGATATTTCAAGGCATTTCGAGTGCAGGGCAGTTTCGTCGAAGTTGCTTCCCTACAGTTATCGTTATCTTCGTTACCGAGGATTGATAAACTTTGTTTTACTTATATATATATACAGTTTTCCTGCTCTTTATATAACCCCGTAATCCCGAATCGTCGCATCCCATACCAACGGCACTCCTATATTATAAGGACTGTATTTAATTAACCTGCCTTCCGTTGGTTATGGATTGAAGATGTGAAGATGAATACTGGGACACTTTTTACAAGATGTATCATTCATTTCCGAATGTCATCTCCTTTTTCTATCCCCGTGGACTGAGAGAGGCTGTTAAGCACCATTTTTCTAAATAATACCTTGCTTTTCCTTTTTATTTTTTCTTCGCTTTTTGTTTCTTGTCTTATTTTGCATCCGGTTCCCAATTTTTTTTATTGGAACATCTACAAACGGATGTTGGAACTAAATTATTTAGTTTTAGTACTCTAACAAACCAAGATATAAATAAATAAATAAATAAAACAACGGGTCCGAAATTATATCGTCCTCTGCCCCCGAATGAAGGTGAAAGTTAGAAGGCAGCCGGAAAGTTGAGGTCTATATCCGGCGAGTTGGCGTGAAAACTAATGGGAAATCTATAACTGGCTGATCGCGTTTTGTAGCTTTTATTGTATTTCGAATTCGGGCTTATCTCCTCGCTTGACTCTTCGTTGGCAATAATATCGAATGAACATGCGGACGAATATGACCGTATTGAGAGACTCTGGTGAAAGTTTCGCTCTATAGTATTTTAGTTTAATTGGTGCAAATAAAGGGTGGTTTTTAGATTATACAAAAACTTGTTTTTATATGTATCAAGCAATGTAGACTAAATAACGCACCGTCTATAAATAATATTGAATAAAAATCTTCTTCAAAATTCCAAGGCCGGAAGGTTGCTTGAAAGGGGTATCGCGTTGTCATCAACAGATATCTACTGAACCTATCAATTATCTACTATTCATCTTTAACGGGTATTATAAATATTTCAAATAAAGTGCGTTAGCGCGTGTGTTAGCAAGTCAATCAAATTAAAAATGGTGCTATCGATGGACCGTTGGGTAGGCAAGGTCGCCGTTGTGACAGGGACCAGCGCAGGAATTGGATATGCGATAGCAGAAGAATTAGTAAAAAATGGACTTATAGTAAGTGGAAAATATCTTGATAAACGAAACATTGTTGTTAAATACGGACCTACGTTTTCAATAGGTTGCTTTTTTACTTTTTTAAGTTGCTGGGTTTGCCCGCAGAAAAGAGCGCACTGAAGAGCTGTCTAAAAAATTATCAGCTGAGAAAGGAAAATTGTACGCTGTAAAATGTGATATAACCAAAGAGGAAGACATCTTGGAAGCTTTCGCGTGGGTCAGAGAAAATCTTGGACCGGTATCTATCCTTGTGAACAACGCCGGCCTAGGGCAGGCCACTACTCTGATAGATGGCGATTCCAAAAAATGAAAAACTTTATTGGGTACTGTAACTATCAACCAATTGTGGACTCAAAGGTACTGACCATTTGAATCAAGTTCGAATCAGTCTTTCTTTCAGACACCAACGTTCTTGGTCTTTGTATTGCAACAAGGGAAGCGATTAAAGACATGAAGGTGAATAACTTCGATGGTCATATAATTCACATGAACAGTATCACAGGTCAAAGAGTCGTATTCATTCCTATTGCGAACGTTTATCCCGCTAGCAAATTTGCCGTTACTGCACTGGCGGAGACATTGAGGCACCAGATAAACAGACAGAATCTTAAAATTAAAATAACGGTTAGTGCCAAATTTATATAAACAATTGTTACATCACATATTTATTTGATAACATGTGTTTAACTAATGTAATTTAAAAGAAAGTCTAGGTATTAAACTAGAACTATAAAAATAAATCTTCCTTGCTCATAGAGTGTTAGTCCTGGACTGGTAGATACCGGAAGTTCTGAGGCTAGTTTTGGAGACGCCTTAGATTTAAAACATGCACTCAGATCTGGAGATATTGCTGATGCTGTTGTATACGCTCTATCGACACCTCCACATGTCCAGGTGAGCTCCTTGGGTGGAATTTTTATAAACTGGCAATCGAAAAAAAAAAGAGAAAATCTGAAATTCGTTCTTTTAAGATAAAAATGTTTTGCATATATTTTTAGGTTTCCGAGTTAACAGTCCAACCAGTAGGAGAGAAGTTTTGAAAGCAACATTAAACTCCAGAACTGCTATTACCAAGTGCCACCGCCTTTTGTTTTAATATTCATAATTACTAATAATTATTTCACTGAACTTTAGACAGAGTACCGTAAATAGGCTGATGATATTTTTAGATTCAATATCTTTGGGCAGATGTATATGTATATTAATAAAATAAAGTGAAGAGTTAGAAGTAGTAAAAATCATTTTACCATAACGTTATTTAATACATATATTATTATCAGCTACTCGCCAGTTGTTTTACTCTGATATCGCCCCAATTAGTTGAACTGTAAGGGAGCAACAAAATATGTTCAAGCTCAGAGTGAAGCGGTAATATTTTTGAACATGTATATCTATACAAGATTTTAGCCAGAATACCAAGAGGAAAATTTGCCAAAGAACATATCATATTACAATTTGAACCTCGGTAATTATCAGACATATTAATTAATTTTTGCGCTATATAAAAAAAACAAAAATAAATATAAAATAAGTATAAATTATTTACATGTACACGTTATCGAATATCCGGAAGAATATAAAACAAAATATTATGCTTGAGTTCAATTTTGACAATTGCAACTGTTAAATAGAAGATGTTAAATTAGATTTTCTCTAGTTTAAACTACCCAAATATGCACTGATATAACATGTCCGGAGCCACTTCAATCTTTTGGGGTACTTTAGTTACCAGTTTCGCAGCCTTCGGAAGTATTCGATGAAAACCTGATGCTAGTCTGACGTTTGTCAGGCATGGGTCTTTTAAAAAACGTGTTATTTGTACAATTATAAATATATTAGAAATTGTGGGATTATACTAGAAATTCATTGAGTTTACTGTCGGGGACATTTAACTGTCAATTATTCGCACCTTTCCTATATTCGTGCTATAACGTTTTTGAGATTTTTGCTGGTTATATTTGTAGTTATTGAATCAAAATTCTAAAAACCATTACTCGTCTGCTAAGTACATTAATTAATTAATGTATTTATAACCACATTATTGGACGTAACGGCCCAAAAGAATAACGCACTTTGTATTAATTCTAAAATTGCCTGTGCTCTGTATTGCTCAAGTATTGTTCCCCAAACACCGTTCTGGATTCCTCTTGGGCCGGTTGTTGTTGTGTCAAACTTTTACTAACGTTTACTCTGTACCTGCTTATATGTTGTTTGAGGGGGGCGGAGCTAAATGAGGGACATAAACATCATCCCGGATGACTGACTCCCATATTGGTGCCAGGTACGGACCTGAGTCGCGGCTAAGATTGTTACATGCAAGCGTTTTAGTTTTTTCGAATAAAATTTTGTCTGGTTTCGTGAATTTGTTCGGCAACTGCTGATGCGTTAATTTGTCGTAGTCCTAAGGCTTTCGAATGATATTTTTCGTCTGATCTCTCCAATGTATTCTTTGCGGCATATGCATGGAATGTTGTAAACAAGTAGTTAATATGGTTTTTGAATTTACATTTCTTAAGAAGTTTTGACATGTGATCAGTGTTGCTTTGAATTTAAGGAAGGACAACAATGACAAATCTGAGGTTGTTTTCAGACTCATTGCTTTTGGAAGATTGAGACAGTTTTACGCTCTGTAAACAAGAGAATTGATAACCGATGATTTTTTGGCCTGATGGTGATGTGACAATGTATTCAGGTACAGGTCTATCTATGTAGGTTTTCAGTAAACAGAATGAGCCAATGTGAAGATTGGCGAAACTTCAGTAAGTATGATTCATCAACAACCGAAGCAATAGGAATCCAGAGGTTTTGTAAATAGCTTTCACATACATGTTCTAGGTACATTTTATCTTTTTTTAAAAAAACAAACAAAACACTCAAAGCTTTCTGAGTTAATCGTCAAACGATGCACTGCAGGTATAATTTTATTAGACAATGTTTTAAGCCCTTGTTTGCATCACGAGCTTCACACGACAAGTTTTGATTTGTAAACGCTTTTCAATGTTTGAGTATTTGGTTGACCGTAGTTTGAAACCTATTGAGTCGGGTTTGTGGCAGCATTACGATGTATAATAGACATTTGCTATAACAATATGGTTTGCAACATATTTTACATTATCGTAGAATGTGTGAGTTGTAAATGCATGATCAACGGCAATCTATCGCATCTACATGGAACAAAAAAATGAAATCTGTATTAGATTTTTTACTCTTTCGACGGAGATCTGAAGATTAAAAAATCAATGTAAGGAACTTATGTTGGAGAAATTCAAAAATTAACTAAGTTACTAAGTAACTAGGAAAATTTGCTAATAAATAAGAAATGAAAAAAGAAATCTTAAAGATGAAGATTTGGCAGCATTACGATGTATAATAGACATTTGCTATAACAATATGGTTTGCAACATATTTTACATTATCGTAGAATGTGTGAGTTGTAAATGCATGATCAACGGCAATCTATCGCATCTACATGGAACAAAAAAATGAAATCTGTATTAGATTTTTTACTCTTTCGACGGAGATCTGAAGATT